AGGGTAGCCCTGGCACAGCTCTGGTCATCCGAACAATGTGTCCCCTTGTTGGGCTCCGTGGCGGGCGGGGAGCCCCGGAGTCGAATCAAATAGAAAACTCTCATGGATTCTAAAAACCCTAAAGACCCTTCCCCAGCTCCCAACGTGAAGAAGTCTCGGCTCGCGGAAGCGGGTGCGGCCGCCGAGCCGAGCAAAAGTTCAAAAAACGGTAAAAGGACCTTTACCGATGCCTCCTTCCTCCCTCCTCCCAAGGAGCTTCTGAGGCAATCATACGTGGCCATCTCCAGTACAAAAGACGCACAGAAAAGAATTACCGATCTCAACCTCTTTAAGACAGGAGATGCACTACGGAAAGTTCTGGGATACATTCCCACATGTGTACAGAAACTTTCCTGTGGTGCACTCCTTGTCAAGTGCGCAACTGTGAACGAAGTGACCACACTCCTGGATACCACGACCTTCGGCGGTATTCCATATAAGTCCGAGCACTACCAGAAATTTAACCGCTCGAAGGGCGTGGTCCGCAGCCATGAGCTGAAAGGCTGCTCCATGGAAGAGATTGTGGAGCCCTGTGAGGGAGTGGTCGAAGCCCGCCGGATTACTTTTTGGCGGGGGGAGACTACTATTGAGACGAACACGATTGTTCTCACATTCGAATCGTGTCGCCCTCCAGCCACCGTTCAGGCATCTTACTTGGTACTCGACGTACGACCCTATGTGCCGAACCCTCTGCGCTGTTTCAAGTGTCAGAAGTTCGGCTATAGCCAGTCACGGTGCCGTCACGCAGCCGTGTGTCCTCGTTGTGGCAAGACCGGGCATCCTGAGAAGGAATGCAAGGCTAGACCTTGTTGCCCCAATTGCCACGGCCAGCACACAGCTTTCAGCAAAGAGTGACCGACTTGGCTCCAAGAACGCGCCATCCAAGAATACAAGGCGCGAAATGGCTGCTCCTTCCAGGAGGCCCGTAAGGTTGTCTGCCCGCCAATCATAACCCCAGTCATTGGCCAGTCATATTCAAAAGCAGCCCAGGTGGTCACGAGGTTGGCAAGTAATTCCACTGCCGACCTCCCAAAGCCCGCGGTCAACAGGCAAGTCGCTGTGCCTAAGAACAAAAAGCCCGCTACTGTCCTTGTGGTAACCCTCTATGAGGTGCCACTTTCTAACCGCTATGGGGTTCTAGGGGAGGAGGGAGAGGACTCTTCCTCCGCCCTCTCTTCTCCCCCTCACCCCTCTTCTATCCCTTTTTCTTCTTCTCCTTTTTCTTCCACCTCACAGCCCATTCCTCTGATGGAGTGTGAGGTGGGCCTTCTCCCCTTCCCTCCCCCCAGACCCCACCCCCCGCCTCCCAGCCCCCTCCGTCTGCTCCACCTCCCCCTACCCCTCCAGCAGACAAACCCCTGCCTATGGAGGAAGACAGCTCCGACCCCACTCCCCGGCCTGACCCCGGGAAGGGCGGAGTCTGTCACTCCTCCAAATCCCCCACTAGACTGCCGCCCAATCCAGGACGGCAACCTAGAAAACACTCTACCTTCCCCGCAAGGAGGAGTCAGAGTGTTTTTTCGAAGCCGGGGCCTTTGAGCTCCAAAATAAAAACTAAAAAGTCATATGGCGGTCCTACAATGGAATGCTGGCGGAATCCGACCTTCCATTGCAGAATTGCAACACTTACAGGCCACACTGTGCCCACGTGTGGCCTGTATACAAGAAACAAAATTCGCCCTGGCTTCAACCATAGACTTAAGAGGATTTACTGTGTATCATAACCTTCACATGGAGAACCAGATTGCTTCCGGTGGTACCACCATCTACACCGACAACAACACACTCCACAGACAAGTACATCTTAAGACGACCCTCCAGGCTATTGCCGTATGGGTCACCCTGCACAGACCAATCACGATCTGCTCAGTTTATATCCCACCAAATTACCCCCTCAAAATAACCCAACTAAATGACATAAAGGCTCAGCTTCCAAAACCCTTTATTTTGCTAGGTGATTTCAATGCTCACAGCCCCCTTTGGGGAGACAAACCTTCAGACCAGACAGGAAAAATAATAGAAAACTTTTTATTTCAAAAAAACATGTCTCTTAAATGATAGGTCCCCAACTGATAGAAACAGAGCCACTTATGGCATTTCATCCCTTGACCTCACCTTTTGTACCCCTGACCTTGTCCCAGATCTTGAATGGTCTGTGCTGGATGACCGTACGGACCATTTCCCAATTCTTCTAAAAAACAATAGCCTCCAAAACGACCCGATCCCTGAACGCTTCAACTTTAAAAAAGCAGACTGGGACGGGTTTGCCAATCAATGTTCCCAGATTCTTCATCCCAATTTCGACCTCAACTACACTAAATTCCACGAAAAGCTTTTAGAAATATGCCACGAACACATACCAAAAACAAAAACAAAACCGCGGAGGAACAAGATCTGGTTCTCTTGGGAATGTGAGGATGCAGTGAAGAAAAAGAAGGCAGCGTATCGAAAGGCCGTCAACAACACCACCACAGAAAACAAGATAAACTATTTAAAGGCTCGAGCTGTAGCACGTAGATGCCTCAGGGAGAGCAAAAGACAATCGTTCCAAAAATACATCTCCAAAATCAACAGCCAGACACCACTCAACCAAGTTTTTAAAATTGCTAAAAAATTCTTAGGTAGACGCACAGACACCATTCGGCACGTCCAGAGGCCGGATGGAACCACAGCTGAAACACAAGTAGACATTGCAAACACAATAGCTACATCTCTCGCCAAAAATTCATCCCAAGCAAACTACAACACCACTTTTCAAAACATCAAAACTAACAGAGAAAAACAACACCTAAACTTCCACTCAAACAACACTGAAACCTACAACGCAGACTTCACAATAGACGAACTAACATCGTGCATCTCGGATCTGGGACCGGATGACATCCACAACCAGATCATTAGACACTTACCCTCAGAAACACTCACACTCTGACTATACATATACAACGACATGTGGCGGTCACACTCCTTTCCGGAGTCTTGGCGTCTCGCCACTGTCATTCCAATACCCAAACCAAAGAAAGACCACACACACCCATCCAATTACAGACCTATAGCACTAACGAGCTGTCTCTGCAAACTGATTGAAAAAATGATTCACAGGCGACTCATGTGGTTTCTGGAAACGACGGGCTCGCTGAGCGGTCTCCAGTGCGGATTCAGGAAAACTCGATCCACTCTGGATCACCTGGTCCGCCTGGAGACCTTTATACGCGAGACGTTCGCTGAAAGAGGCCACATGATCGCCTTCTTTTTTGACCTAGAAAAAGCCTTTGACATGACCTGGAAGTACGGCATTCTTCGAGACCTGCACGTACTCGGCATACGCGGTCACCCCCATGCCTTCATTGGCAACTTCCTGAAGAACCGTTCCTTCCAGGTTCGTGTCGGATCCTCCCTTTCAGACCCCCACCAACAGGAGGAAGGAGTCCCCCTGGGGAGCATCCTTTCTCCTCTCCTATTCGAAATTAAAATAAATTCCATAGTGAAAACCCTCCAAAACAGCATAGACAGCTCGTTATACATTGACAACTTTTTGATGTGCTGCCGTTCGAAAAATCCTCATTTGAGATCTATGGAAAGGCAGCTGCTAACGCAGCTGCACAAACTCGAAACGTGGGCAAACAATAAGTTCAACTATAATGGTATCAAGTTCTCCCCGTCAAAGACGGTTGCAGTACACTTCTGCCGAACAGGCAGACGTGTGCTGCAGCTGGATTTGACACTATACGGGGAAAGGATTCCCGTCCAGGACCAAGCTCGTTTCCTCGGCGTCATTTTCGACAAAAAACTCACATTCATACCACACATCAAAGACCTTCGTGTGAGGTGCCAGAAAGCGTTAAACGCTTTGAAAATTCTATCGAATCCGGAGTGGGGCGGGGACTCAAAACACTTTCTCCACTTGTACATCTCCCTTGTCCGGTCCAGGCTTGACTACGGCTGTCAAGTCTACGGATCGGCAAAACCACACATATCTTAAAAATGCTAGACCCAATACAGAACCAAGGACTCCGCCTCGTTCTGGGGGCTTTCCGCACTTCTCCGGTGGAGA